GTTTTAGGATTCTACCCCTCTGTGTAGTACTGTTACTAAGCAGAGTTGGTACCTTTTTGGGGGTGGGGCAGAAGAAGAAAAAGAAGAATGTTAATGTGTAGGTCTTATCAGTAGAAACAGGTACATTTCAGTTGACGAATTTTTTAAATCTGAACACTGAAAATTTACATCTTGAAATAAAGATCAATGACTCGAGTTTTTACTTTATACAGCATAAAAGTCTTCTTTACCAAGAGAATTTTTTTTTTTTTTTTTTTTTTTGAGACACAGTCTTACTCTGTCGCCCAGGCTGGAATGCAGTGGCACGATCTCGGCTCACTGCAACCTCTGCCTCCCGGGTTCAAGTGATTCTCCTGCCTCAGCCTCCGTAGTAGCTGGGATTACACGCACATGTCCCCACACCCAGCTGGCCTCTTGGCCAGGCTGGTCTGGAACTCCTGACCTCAGGTGATCCACCCGCCTCAGCCTCCCAAAGTGCTGGGATTACAGGTGTGAGCCACCATGCCCAGCCTACCCAGAGAATTGTAAACAGCACTAAAATGTTTAATATTTAATTAAATATTATTTTACTCATTCAGAAAGTATTCTTCTATAACTTTATAATCCTCAGTGAAAGGAAGAAAGTAACAAAGAAAAGCTTATATCGCAAATTAATTCTATTTTCAGCAAATGCATCTCCATTCACAATCTGTTATAATATAAACACTGAACAGTTCAAAGACTTTTTGAACAGTGAAATACGAACATAAATACTGAAACTAATGTAAGTAACTGCATCCCACTCTCCTTCCATACATGAAGAAACTGAGTATCTAGAAGAACAGGAAAAGCTCTCTGATCCCAAAACCCCACCTTGTTAACAAGAAAAGATTTAAAAAATCAGACAAAAAGGTTCAAAGTTCCCTTCAAAGTGATTAAAAGAGATGAAACTACATGAAGATGAAAGAGTTAGGAGGAAATTTCAGAATCAGTTTATCCCCTGTCCATTCCCCCAATTAGTTTAGAAAAAGTTTCTTCAGGCCAGGTGTAACAACTCACACCTATAGTCCCAGCACTATGGGAGGCCGAGGCAGGAGGATCAATTGAGCCCAGAAGTTTGAGGCCGGCCTGGGGAACACGACAAGCCTCATCTCTACAAATCACTTTTTTAAAAATTAGCCAGGCATGCTGTCATGCGCCTGTGGTCCCAGCTGCTTGGGAGGCTGAGGCAGGAGGATCGCCTGGGGTCAAGTCTGCAGTGAGCCCTGATTGCATGCCACCGCACTCTAGCTTGGGTGACAGAATGAGACCCTGTCTCAAAGAAAAAACAAAACAAAACAAACAACAACAACAAAAAAAAAAAAAACAAGAAAAAGCCTCTTCAGCATCTGTTTCTGCACAAAAATATACCCATGACTCAGTGATACCACTTAACCCTCTGTTTCTTAAGAATAATTCCTTCTTTAAGATGAAATAAAATTTCACTTTTGGCAGGGTACGCGGGCTCAAGCCTGTAATGCAAGCACTTTGGGAGGCCGAGGCAGGCAGATCACTTAAGGTCAGGAGTTCCAGACCAGCCTGGCCAACATAGCGAAACCCCGTCTCTACTAAAAACATAAAAATTAAAAATTAGATGACTGTAGTGACGTACACCTGTAATCCTGGCTACTTGGAAGGCTGAGGCACGAAAATAGCTTGAATCTGAGAGGCAGAGATTGCAATGAGCTGAGACCGTGCCACTGCACTCTAGCCTGGGCAACAGAGCAAGACTTGGGTCACAAAAAAAACAAAAAAATTTTTTTTTACTTTCAATAATTAATTGAAATTAATAACCTTCATGATTAACTTTTTCTCATTTTTAAGTAAAGCCAAGTTTTAAGAAAATATATTTATGATGTTTTCCTTTTTTTTTTTTTTTAGACACAGGAGTCTTGCTCTGTTGCTTAAGCTGGAGTGCAATGGTGCAATCTCGGCTCACTACAACCTCCACCTCCTGGGTTCAAACAATTCTCCTGCTTCAACCTCCTGAGTAGCTGGGACTATAGGCACGCACCACCATGCCTGGCTAATTTTTGTATTTTTGGTTGAGATGGGTTTCACCATGTTGGCCAGGCTGGTGTCGAACAACTCCTGACCTCAGTCGAGTGATCCACCCACCTCGGCTTTCCCCAAGTGCTGGGATTACAGGCATGAGCCACTGCACAGGGCATTTATGATGTTTCTCTTACACAACTAATAGCTTAGTTAGTTATAACAATGCAATGTTTATATTTTTAAAAGTTAATATTTTTACTTGATTTTTGTATTGTTTCTAATTTTCATATTTACATTGTTAAGTCTAAACTTTTACTTTTTAATGTTTATACATTCCAATACACTCATTTTAGACTAGCCCGTAACATTTAACCAGTGTTACTGAACTGTCTTTATGCTCTAACTAGACAATTAAAATTAGTTTAATACCACACAGTATGGCAATCACAATTAGCGTAATGTCATACAGCTAGCGTGGTCAGGATTAGACTTCAAATCTAGTTCCCTTTTCAGAAAATATGTTGCTTCATCATAGTTCCCATCAAAATTATTAGATTCATTTAAGAAAGAATTATGTTTTAAATTTTATAACTTCTCACATACACTAATGCATTTAACTAATTCCAGGTACCTACATGTAACTTCTCACATAGTAAAACACATTCCTATTTATCATGACTCATAGAATTACAAACAGGATTATGGTAGGAAGAAAGATGATGAAGAGTGCAAACAACATGAAAATCTATGATTTCTGGAGTGCAGCGCTAGGCACTGAGGAGAAATAAAACTAAAAGCAAAGCAAAAAAAGGCTCAGGGAATTTATAACCTGATAAAGAAAATAAATTATGACCATAATTGTAATACCCGGAAGACTATTACTACATTCACAGATAGTACTGTTTAAAGTATTAAAGTATAAATAGGATTATTTAAAAAAATAGATCTCATATATTCATTCAGCAATTAGTCATTCAGCACATTCTATGGTCCAGCCACTGAGCTAGGTAGGAGGCACAACAGTGAAGAAAACAGGTATGGTTCCCATCTATCTGTACAGAAACAAGTAACAAACCATTATAATTATTCCCACTTATTAGGAAATATTAAATTGTCTGTGTCTATACATAGTGGAAAGTGGGAAGACTGATAAGGTAAGGCCTCACTAATGAATAAAGCAACATTCAGGCTGAGACCTCAGGCGTGAAAAATTAGCCTTTCAAATTGTGCATGCGTGCATGTGTGAATGAGTGTGTGGGTATGTGTGTGTCTGTGAAGCCCGGTGGGCAATCAAAATGGCATAGATGGGACTGGAGAAGCAAGCAGGGAGGTGATCTCACAGATCAAAAAAGCAGGACGGCCCAGGTATGCTGAAGGAAAAGCAAATATACTAATTTAGCTAGAGCATGAGGTTAATGCAAAACAAACAGCATTTGCACAATACTTTCACGTTTAAAAGTCTTAATTCTTACCATGATAGATAATGTTTCCCTTTTATGGATGAAGGGATAACAGACTCAAAAGGGCTAAAAGCCTTACTAATAAGCCCACACCACTAATGCACTCAGTCTCAAGACCCAGATATTCTAATTCAAGTCACACCAGTACCCCTTCTACCACACAATAAGTAGTAATGAAAAATAAAGTTGAAAAGACAAACCAGGGTAAAAGTCAGGCTGAGAAATGCAAGCTTTACTAGGGACAAAAAGTAACAGAAGTGACATCAATTAAAAAGATGATTCTGAACTCCATATTGTACTTTCAAACAGTTCTTTTATGCAAAATAACTACCATGTAGTTTATCAATCATTTTGAATTGTGTCCCCCAGAAGAGTGAGTGAGAGAGAGAGAGAGAGAGAGAGAGAGACTGTGTGTGTGTAGCTGGGGAAGACAGAAGGCTAAGTACCATGTTCAATCAGAACATTCCTACTTTAATCTTTTTCTTTTCGTTTTGAGAGACAAGGTCTTAATCTGTCACCCAGATTGGAGTGCAGGGTGCAATCACAGTTCACTGAAGCCTCCATCTCCTGCACTCGAGATCCTCCTGCCTCAGCCTCCTGAGTAAATAGAACCACAGGCATGCACCACCATGCAGGGCTAATTTTCTGATTTTTTTTGTAGAGATGGGCTCTCGTTATGTTGCCCAGGCTGGTCTTGAACTCCTGGGCTCAAGTGCGCCTCACACCCTGGACTCACAAAGTGTTTGGCTTATAGATGTGCAACACTGTGTCTGTTTTATGTTAGATTTAGTCTGAAAAAAAGTTTTGCTGTTTGTAAACCTCAGAATATAGTCAGTAAACTTTGGTTCTACAATCTCATGAAGTTTTAAATATAAGATTCATATAAAGATCCTATATTTACATCTTAAATATAAGATTTAATATAAGATTGTATAAAGATTTAAATCTAAAATCTAAGATGTAAAACATACCAGCAGTAGAGCACTGCTTTCACCCATCATATGCCCTATAATAACTACTTTAATAAGCAGGCTAATTTTTTGTCAGCTTCTCTACTAAATAATAACTATACATATATACATACCCCACTATAGATTATTAAAGGCAATTTCAAGTATGATTTTTGCCTCCACACTTTCAGAAATAATACATATGCCTACCATAAAGTTTCCTTGTATGTTAAGGCATTTGTAACATAAAAATGTAGAGTAAAAATACTACTACTACGAACTGGTTTTTCAACTACTAAAAAATGAACTCTAAAAACTACACACTGATGTCAAAAAAAAACACATATTACTAGTGAATACTTTATGTGTAACATTGGCAAATACCCTTTACGAAGTTTACTCAAAACCCACTAAAGTAAATCAATCAATTCTTCAACTCTACCAAACTTAAAAATATAGTTTCACATTAGAGCAATAGTATCTAATTACTCAAATAGTCAAATCTATAAAAAATTTTGCAAGTTAGCAATATTAATCATGAATACAAAGAATTAGTTATTTAAATATGCGCACATACCTTTGTCCTTCTTGAAATCCAAAGCATCTTCTTTATCAGTCACTATTTCCTTCATATTGATAATACTCTGATGGGTAAGCTGCCGGAGAATTTTAATTTCTCGAATTGCTGTAATTGGAAAGCCTTCCTTTTCATTATCCAGACGTACTTTTTTTAAGGCTACCATTTCTCCTATTAAGGAATTTAATAAAATCAGGTTACCAGCTGACAAAAGCAGATGACATTTTTCTTAACTTTAAATGTATTTTAATTTAATTCTGTTCTTACTTCTGAAAAATACAACCCACAAAATACGTTTGTTTCCAATATACCAAATAATACTTATAGTTCAAAAAAATTAAGTCCGTCATTGAACAAATTATGTAATATTTATATAAACCAGGGAATACTATACAATTGTTAAAAATGAGCTAAGTCCAAATATATTATGCTCCCCATTTATATATTCAGTGAATAAAGTAAGATGCTTTTATATTCACTTGGAAAAAAATAAAAAGAAAACAGAAAGACGCTAGGCCGGATGCGGTAGCTCATTCCTGTAATCCCAGCACTTTGGGAGGCCGAGGAGGACAGATCACGAGGTCAGGAGTTCGAGACCAACCTGGCCAACATAGTGAAACCCCAACTCTACTAAAAACACAAAAAATTAGCTGGGCACTTGTAACCTCAGCAACTTGGGTGGCTGAGGCAGGAGAATCACTTGAACCTGGGAGGTGGAGGCTGCAGTCAGCCGAGATCACACCACTGCACTTCAGCCTGGGCGATAGTGCAAGACTCCACCTCAAAAAAAAAAGATGCTGAAGACTAGGTATATCACACTGTCATTTTTTTTTTTTAAGTGAACAAGGGAAAGACAAATATAGCCCATATGCTTATGTATGCATAAAATTTCTCTGAATAGAGAAAAACTATCAGTGAAAAAAATATGCTCAGACATATTACTTGCCCAAACCTGGCCAGTTACCTAGTAGTAAAACTGGAATTCAAAATCCAGTTACTTGCCTCAAAAATATACGTTCTTCCCCACTACACTAAATTGTCACATAATTTAAGTATGAGTCAGCTTTATATCAGAAATGATCCAAATAGAAAATGAAATATACACACATACACAAAGTCTATTATAAGAAAAAATTCACTATAATAAAGGTTTGTTCATTCCACTTCTTTGGAGAAAAAAATGTTCTTACAAATTTTCTAAAAGAAGGAGGTGTATTCTTTTAATCATTACAACTTATTCTATTAATTTTAATGGAATGCCTTCTATATTGTGTATGAGTCGTGGTTTTACTTCAGTTTTAAAAGTTGTAATTTAATGTTGTTGATAACACATCATTATAAATACTAATTATTACTCTATGAAGTAATTGCCCTCAGTAGTTTCTAACAATAAAGTCATCTCCCATATACTATATGGCCTCAAATAGCTGTGCTGTTTTAATCTACTGGTTTTTTTCCTTGAGACAGAGTCTCGTTCTGTTGCCCAGACTGGAGTGCAGTGGCGCAATCCTGGCTCACTGCAACCTCCACCTCCGGGGTTCAAGCAATTCTCCTGCCTCAGCCTCCCAAGAAGCTGGGATTATAGGTGCCCGCCACCACACCCGGCTGATTTGTGTGTTTTTATTTTATTTTATTATTTTCTGAGGTGGAGTCTCACTCTGTCATTCAGGCTGTAGTGCTGTGGCACGATCTCAGTTCACTACAACCTCCACCCCCTGGGTTCCAGCCTCAGCCCTCCGAGTAGCTGGGTTTACAGGCATGTGACACTATGCCCAGGTAATTTTTGTGTCTTTGGTAGAGACAGAGTTTCTTCATGTTGGCCAGGCTGGTCTCAAACTCCTGGCCTTAGGTCATCTCCCTGCCTCTGCCTCCCAAAGTGCTGGGATTATAGGCATGAGCAACCATGCCCAATCTATTGGTTTATTTCAATAAGCAATTATGAGTAAAGAAAGATAAAATACTAGCTCTATGCATTATTAAGTAAAATACATAGCTTCTGACACAGCTACTTTTTGCTTCTCCTGTGAAGCCTTTTAAAACTTTCTCTGAGTTCCTGATTATGTTATGAAAGATTAAGCTGCTAAAATTGACCTCCAAAGATAGTTACTGCAGGAAAAAAATTGAAGGCTAAATGAAAGTGTTGTGTAAGGCTTATGACAAAAAAAAATTTACTAGTAAGATTAATTCAGGTCAAGATACCTTTCCCTCTGATTAATAACAGTGTAAGAATTACTCACCATAAAAGAGGAAAGAAAAACTAAATCCTACCATACAGTATATCACAAATACTAAAGGAACACTTTTAAAAATATATACATATACAGACTCACTTACATGTACTCATAACTTACAAAATGCATATATAGAATAAAATTAAAAACAAGATGAAACAAAAGCACAATAAATTTGAATTTTTTTGGAAAATTTCCAAAGCTAAACATTAGAAAAGAAACACAAACTAAGTACATTCCGTAGGCCCAAAAGATCCCCAGAACTTGGCATTCTTACCAGTGTCTTTATCCCTGGCTTTGTAAACTTGTCCGTAAGTACCTTCTCCAATAATTCCGATGATATCAAATTTATCCACGCAGCGTTTTCCCCAGTCAATATCTTTTTCTTTGATTTCACCATAGCGAGGCCCACATATTCTATCAAATATAGTTCTAAAGTTTTTATATACAATCAAGCAAATTGAATAAACTGTCTAATAACTCAATATGTACTTGCCACCCAATTGTATATTCTTTATTCTTCCCTACTCTTGCAGTATTTATCATCATCTATCCAAAACAAGTAACACTGATTTGGTATTGTAAGTTATCATAAAAATTGAGGTATCATTTCTATATACTGACTCTTCCTCTGTAGACAAGTATTTAAACTGAGAAAAAAAGTAGTAGAGCTGGTATGAAGGGTTTTCAAAAATAAAATGTAATTTTTCAATGAGTAGATGAAACCAACACTAGTAAGAGTCAAAATTCTCTAATCAATCTCCAGGGAGTTTTATTTTTCATCCATTAACAATATACATAATCTACTTTTAAAAAACAAGAGTTTGATAAAGAATGTTAACAAAAATCTAACTATAAAACTTATTGACAAATTTAGACTTATGGCTGGATGAAATCATCTGAAAAACATCAAAAAAAAAGATTTTGCAGTCTAAGAGAGTACAAAAGGTATTAATACAACCAACTCTCATGAATCCACATTTAAGCAGATACAGATGGATAGGTAGGACAAAAATCTTACATTCTTCAAAAAGATACATAATTTTGTAGTATTTTAATATTATAGTAAATCACAGAAATTCAAGTAAAAGAATAAAATTACAGTGCTCAAGAAGAGAGCATTTTTTGGCTTTTTTTTTTTTTTTTTTTGGAAACAGGGTCTTGCTTTGTCGCCCAGGCTGGAGTACAGTAGCACACGATCATAGCTCATTACAGCCCTGACCTCTGTGGCTCTGGTGATACTCCTGCCTTAGCCTCCTGAGCAGCTGGGACCACAGGCATGCACCACCACACCGGGCTTTTTTCTTTCTTTTTTTTTTTTTTGTAGAGATGGGGTTTCCCTATGTTGCTCAAGCTGGTATCAAACTCCTGGACTCAAGTGATTCTCCCATCTCGGCCTCCCAAAGTGCTGGGATTACAGGCATGAGCCACTGTGCCCGGCCAGTTTAGAAAATGACCTCAAACACACACACTACGTACTACCTCAACTGCAATTCTAAAATCAGATCTAACTTAAAGTCCTCACTGTCCCTTGGTTAGGAAGTTAAAAAAAAAAAAAAAAAAAAAAGCACCAGTGTTGCCCGCCTTTAACTGATTAACAAGTTTTAAGGGAAAGAGGTCTCTCTAGGCACTTACTTGAAGCTAATTTAGGATACAAATTTCAAACCACCTTCTACTCCATCTCTTGCAAAACAAAGAATGTATTTGTTTATAGGAGAAAATGGAGCTAAAAGCAAAGGTAATAGCAGCTTGCCCATTACTAATTTTATTTGGGCTCACTAAATGCTGACTTCTACTCTGCCCAATTTCAGTGTTTCTGTGTTCAATCTCTTAATAACAGAAAATATCTTAAATACAATACCCCAGGAAATTAATACATTACAAATTATGAAGGAAAATTAAATTTGGTTTTATTAGTCACTGTGAATAGGAATGCAAGTAATTATGAATTTTTTCAAAACTGTAATAGAATTCATATATTTAAGTTGAAAGAATAAGTACATTTTTTATTTTAAACCTTAATTTAGTGTTTTATGAACTTCTGATGACCCAGAATCACTGCCGGTCAATTTAAGAGCAGGTAGAAAGCAAGCACATACTTAGGCCTCCTTTTACTATGTAATTGTGTTGCTGTTTTCTTTTCCTCTGGACTCTTTGAGAGATCATCTCCTCCTGGTAGCTCAGGGGGCAGCGGTAAATCAGCAAGAAGACATCGGAGTTTCTTTTCTACTTCTTTTTTAACTGCTTTTACTGAAATATTTCCTCGTAAGCTAAAAGTGAAAGAAGTCAGACAAATAAAAATTTTGTTAAGTAATAAAAATGTGCTTATGTCTTACATTTAAGTAGCAATAGTCATGAATATTCAACAGTATTTCACATTATAAGACTATTGTCTGAGTTTCTTTCTAGCTAAAGTAATACACTATACTCAACTGTAAAATGCAAAATTTGGGGTAAAAATGACACAGAATTAGGTAAAAACTAAGGAAATCTGTATAAGGTAGGAACTTTCATGATAACTTTGTATCAATATTGATTCATTGTTAACTAATGTACCACAGTGATGTAAGATATTAACAGTAAGGAAACTGGGTACAGGGTATTCAGGGTCCCTGTAGTATCTTCATAATTTTTCTATAAATATAAGACTGTTATAAAAATAAAGTTTATTTTTTAAAACGATACAGAATTAACTATAAAACTGTACATTAAAATTGAAAATCAACTAAACATGCTTTGCATAAAAACTCAGTTTTGCAAAGCATTTTTTTTTTTTTTTTTTTTGAGATGGAGTCTCACTGTCGCCCAGGCTGGAGTGCAGTGGCGGGATCTTGGCTCACTGCAACCTCCACCTCCTGGGTTCAAGCGATTTTCTTGTCTCAGCCTCCCAAATAGCTGGGATCACAGGTGTCTGCCACCACACTCTGCTAATTTTTGTATTTTTAGTAGAGACGGGGTTTCACCATGTTGGCCAGGCTGGTCTTGAACTCCCGACCTCAAGTAATCTGCCCGCCTTGGCCTCACAACACCCAGCTGCAAAGCACTTACTTTGATTCTGGTAGAGACACAAAAGATATTTTACTGTAATAAATAAATGAAAGCACATGATAGTATTTATCTTGCCCATTTAAATATCCACAGCTAATTCGGCTTTGACCCTTTTCAGGGTTAATTAATTTTTCTAAATTGGACAATGATTCTTCTAATTTTTTTAACATTCCAGCCTACTAGAATTACAGTTGAAATTTAAACTTCATTAGCTTTGTACTTTTTATGAATGCATAAAGAGCTCTGAGTTTTAAAGTATATCTTAACTTGGCAATTTATTTTAAATTTCCCTGATATGACAAAGTATGTCATCTAATATAATGTGACATGTTGAAAGAGAATCTCATAATGATAATAAAATTTGGACTTCACATACTGTCATAGCAGTTGAGTCCCATAGTGAAAAAATTTATTCCAACTACACTGCTGTGATCAGAAATTACTGAAGATATTATTATCAATGTAAATAATTTAATTGTAATTATCCTCCTATTCATGTTGAACAATAATACTGTAAAACAAATGAATCCTTTAATACCACTTGATAAAAACAACTTAATAATACCATCTGATAAAAACGACTTAATAGTCATAGTAAATGTATGTCCTGTGTTACTCACTGAAAGGTTCTTTAACAGAGAAAAAACATGCTTTAAAAGAAACTGGTTTGTAGTTTTGTTTTGTTTCTTTAAGACGGAGTCTTGCTCTGTTGCCCAGGCTGGAGTGCAGTGGCACAATCTCAGCTCACTGCAACCTCCGCCTCCCGAGTTCAAGCAATTCTCCTGCCTCAGCCTTCTAAGTAGCTGGGACTACAGGCACGCATCACCATGCCCGGCTAATTTTTTTGTATTTCTAGTAGAGATAGGGTTTCACCATGTTGGCCAGGCTGGTCTTGTACTCCCGACCTCAGGTGATCCAAAAGAACTGCCTTGGCCTCCCAGACAGCTGGGATTATAGGCGTGAGCCATCATGCCAGGCCTGTAGTTTTAATTTTAAAATAATGTATCACACAGCCCACTTCTCAATTTTCCTCTCCCTCCATTCAGCAAATATTGATTATGAGCTTCCATGTGCTAGGTATTTTGTAAGGCACTGGAAATTTAACAACAAACACATTAAGCTACAGTTTCATTCAAAAAAGAGCTTACAGTCTGGAAGACAGGTAGGAAGTAGGATAAAGTGTTATACAAACAGATTCCTAGAGTAATGTAGTAGCTAAAGGGTAGCTAAATCAAGTCTGAAAGACAGTAAAGGCTTCTTTCTAGAAAAGGTATCACCTGAACGCCAACTGAAAATAGGCCTATTTAGAATAACTTATTTGTAAACTATAGTCTCTAACTTGTAATGAGGCTTTAGTCAAGAGTTATCTGAAGATTCAATCAACATTTCTGAAAGCAAAAAACTAAAGTTTTAATTTCAGTTATAATTTAAAACTTAAAAAACTATCTATATTAAATGTTATTATATTAACTATCAAATATTACTTTCCAAGAGTATTACATAATTTAAAACATTTTTGAGTATTTGCAATAATCAAATAGAAAATGTGCTTTTAAAAACACTTCCATACACCACAGCAACAAAAATAAAATGCCTTAAAAAGAAATACACACATGCAACAGAAAAAAAATAAAACATCTGACTGAAGAACATAAAATTAGATCTGAACGAATGAAAAGAAACCATGTTTTAATATGGGAAACTAATATTATAAAGCTGTCTCCAAATTATGACTCTATTACATTTAATAGAGTTTCAAAAAAATCCAAGAAAGTTTTTTTTTTTAATACAACTTGACAACCTGACTGATTATAAAATTTGTCTAAGAATAAAGGCAAAAGAACTGCCAAGAAATTTCTGAAAAAGAGAAATTAAGCAGGATTTGCCCTGTCAAGCTATTCAAAGATCTAGAACTACAAGCCAAAGGCTGGTTGAAGTCAAAGGATATATATTATTCAGTCTATCTAATGTTTTATAAAGAACTATGAATTGTGAGTAATTTTAAATCCAAAGATTTACGTAATATTCAGGTTCTAGGCTTCCTCTTTTAAAAAAGCAAAAGTTCTAAGACAAGCTTAAATTCTTGTAGAGCAACATTGATGTTGCAGCTCAACAGCAGAGCTGTTTACTCATCACAAATTTACTTCATTCCCTTCATTTTTATATTACTGTTTGCCCCTAAAATAGAAATTTGAGTTTGGGAGCCAATATACCATGTATCTAAAGACACTACAATGGTAAGATACTGACAAATAAAATATGTTAAAGAAAAGAAAGTAGAGAAACAGATATATGTAAGAATTTTTATATATGGAAATTAGTGAGATGAATTATACAATAAACAGTACTGGTAACAACACTGGGTTGGGGGAGTAAAGAATCAGAACACTTATTTACACTATAACCGAAAGCAAACTTCTATGAGATCTGACTTAACCTTTTTAAATTTTATAAACCTAGAAGTCTTAAAGAAAAGAGAATAGATTTGACTAGATAAAAATGGAAAACATTCATACAACCAAAAGCAAAACAAATGTCAAAGATAAGCAATAGATTCTGAGAGGCAAAGGTCAACATCTCTAACATAACAACTAAAAACCAATTTGAAAAAGGGAAACAACTTTAAGGAAAAGCCAGCACAGAATACAAGCAAGCAATTCACCAGAAAAATAATAAATAACCAATAAATGTTCTAGAAAATACCATACCTCATTATCAGAAAAATGCAAAATTAAATAATTACGTATTTTAAAGAGTGTCAAAATTGACACTATCCAAAACTGTTATGGCAATTTCATACATCTGGGTGCATAAATTGGTATACAGCCTTATTAAGACATAATTTGGCAGTTTCTATCAAATTTTTAATGTGTGTACTTTGACATGTTAACTATCCTATAAAAATTACCTAAATATACATAAAATATTAATATATAAGGAGAGTTTAATAGCAAATAATTATAAACCTAAGTATCCATTAATCAACAGAAGAACACGATACATCCATTCCTGTAATAAGAATATCGGGCCCATCTAAACCAACATGGAAAGATCTCCAACATATTAAATGAAAAAGCAAGTCAAGGAACATTATCCATGGTATGATCCTAATTTTAAAAATAATAATAAAACAATCACATTCTCTGAAAACACACAGATTACCATCTATCTCATGATTTTGTGGGAAAACAGACAGTAATTTTGGGAATGAAGCAAAATTCAAAGTGAGCCTAACATATACCTTTGGCAAGGAAACACGAAAAAACAAATGAGGTCATGTCAAAAGAATAAAAGAGTCAGCTTCCACTGACCAAATTTCAGACAATGTGAGGGTCAAAAGGAATAGTGGCTATTACTATTAGTAACACAGAAAATAAATAAAAATCCACGAGAGTAGAATGATTAAATGGGATATGGGGAAACATGTACATACAAAACAAGGCCAGCTAATGTTAAAAGGAACGGCAGAATTAGAAAATAACCATTTTCAATTTGTGCAGCAGCAACGGAAAAAAAAAATCACCATTTGCAGTCCCTACTATAGTAACTGAATTAGACAAATATCATTCATGGCTGCTAAACCATTAGGTGATAGGTTGTTGGGAAAAAGGATATTCAATCACTGCCAAAACTATTACCCTACAGCTCACTTCTAATTGCAAAGAGGGAAATGTACCCTCATACATGAAGAGACATTAAAGTTGGACATCCACTTAACCAAGTGATCACATCACTACTAGCAGAGTAAGACAATCTGGTATTTTGGTCCTCCTGTAACAACAGCATAAAATACATAAAATCACCTCTTAAATATTCTGGCTAAAAAACTGTGTATTCTTTATCTAAACAAAGTACAAGTAATTTCCATATTATGGGAAATAAAGGGATTAGAGAAGAACAAGTTAAATGATACCAAGAAGAAATAATCAGATAAATCCAAAGGTGAGACATTCTGTAAGATTACTGGCCCAGACTCTTCAAAAAGTCATGGGGCTGGAGACAGGGGGTGGGTGGGGGAGAGTACTGATTACTGATTATATATAGTGCATGATATTATTGTTTATTTATATTAGATTAACTACTGTTGATTTCCTTGTTATCACAATAATGATACTGTGATCAAGCAGGAGACTGACCTTATTCTTGGGAGATGACTTAAATATTTACGGTATAGTAAAAAGAAATATATACACAGCTGGGAGCTGTGGCTTACGCCTGTAATCCCAACACTTTGGGAGGCCAAGGCAGGCAGATCACAAGGTCAGGGGTTCGAGACCAGCCTGGCCAACATGGTGAAACCCCATCTCAACTAAAAATACAAAATTTAGCCAGGCATGGTGGTGTGCGCCTGTAATCCCAGCTACTCCGAAAGCTGAGGCAGGAGAATTGCTTGAACCCAGGAGGCAGAGGGTGCAGTGAGCCTAAATGGCACCACTGCATTCCAGCCTGGGCAACAGGGCAAGACTTCATCTCGGGGAGAACTATATACACACACACACACACACATACCCTCATTAGTTCTCTTAAACAACTAGAGATGGAGCGTGTGTGTGTGTGTGTGTGTGTGTGTGTGTGTAATTTTTTCCTTTTTTTGAGACAGGGTCTCACTTTGTCACCCAGGCAGGAGTGCAGTGGCGCAATCACAGCTCACTGCATCCTCAACCTCTCGGGCTCAGGTGATCCTCCCACCTCAGCCTCCCAAGTAGCTAGGACTACAGGCATGCACCACCACAGCCAGCTAATTTCTGTATTTTTTGTAGATAGGGTTTCGCCATGTTGCCGAGGATTGTCGCAAACTCCTGGGTTCAGCCATCTGCCCACCTTGGCTTTCCAAAGTGCTCATTACAGTCTGGGATTACAACTGTGAGCCACCACACCCGCTGAGACGGAGCATATAAAACAAAATGTAACTTCCATCCAGTAAACACAGATGCTAACTGTATTATTCTTTCAATTTTTCTAAGTGCTTGAATACTTTCAAAATAAAAGAAGTATGAGGGAAGGGGAGAATTTACTTAGACATAATAAAACAGCAAAAACAAGTGGAGTAGAGGTTTGCAAAATCAAGAGGCCACTCAAAACACACACACACACTTTTGCTAATGTATTTGTGGATACAACAGTGAGAGTCAACCAGGAATACAGATACAGGCATGCTCAAAGAAAGCAAAGATCGAAAGCTTTCCTTAAGATACAGCAATGAGATTATGCAGACCATTACTCACTCTTCTTTAAAATGATCTTTAAATTTACAGTGAGTAACAAGTAAATAAAGATACCTCCCATATTTGGCTTTCCTAAAGTATGTTGTAACAGAAAAGATTGTTTCTTTACCTCAAGAGAAAGAGTTTATAAACCACTTTCAACAAATAGCTGTTCAGCAAAAACCAAAAAGTATACAATGGTTATTAAAAGAAACTTGTAAACATAAAATTACCATGAGCTTACTTTCGGATACATGAAAAATATGTCCTGGGGGTGCTCCCCCTTCATTATAAAAGAGGATGGAAAACCAACCAATAGTTCCTCTTTTACAAAAACCAATTATTTTCAAAGGAAGCACTAGGTCTATTCGTTACACAACAGATCTACATGTTACATATGTAATGGTTCATATATTATACAATGTAAATCATACTTTGTAATTTTTACCTTTTTTCAATAACCTAAAGCAGTTTTAAATATCTGTAATATTTCCAGCAGTGCTGATTTATACTAGGCCTAATTATAATAACTGAGATGCATAACACTTTACAGCTTGCAAAATTCAGTCCATCAACTCGTTTAATGTTTACAACTAATCTGTGAGGTTAAACTGTAAATATTTTCACCCGTGAATAGAACTAAATGGACTGAGGCACAGAAAGATTAAGTCATGAGCATAGTAAGAAGTACAACTGGCACTAAAAACTAAGCTTTCTAATACAGCCTACTAACAAATGTTATTGTACTTCTAACAGTATTATAAATAATAAATATAAAATAAGTCTCCTGTGCCATCCATTCCCTTCAGCGTCCATTTATTTCCAAAAGTAATCACTTCTAACCATTTCTTTTTACAATATATTTTTATTTAATCACCTAAAAACTTTTATAAAAAGTAAAACAATATCAAGTCTCTTCCTCATATGCAGTTAGTACATACATTTCGGTAGTTAAATTACAGATATCAAAATAAGGAAAGTTCCATTGGTGATGAATTAATCTTTGGCCACACAGACATGTACTGGTAGTGCTCATGAATCTTAAGAAACTTCTGTATCCATTAAACATACAAACACATTCAAAGAAAGAAGAGACAACAAAAAGGGGAAAAAGCAGAGGAGATAGAAAAGGTGGATCAAAAAAAAAAAAAGTAATGAATAATAATTAAATGTGCCATCAACTAATTAAAGACAGATGCATAAAGAATATCCTTATTAAGCACTCATATGTGTACATACAGAGTTCCTGAAAATATCCTAGTAAAAATTTACTCCTAAAGCATATATGAAGAATATAAAGTAGAGAACCACCAGTCTCAATAAAACATGGATTCTCAGTAACAGGTTACTCTCTAATGAAGTAACACAATTCAATGAATTAACAGTCAAACCTGCTAATACAACAATTATAGTAGTATAATTAAATAACACCCAATTAAATTGGATGGGGTCTCCCAACAACATTTTGATTATTTTTCAAAAGGCACCTCAAAGGGCATGAAACTCAAGAATTATTATTTCACTTTTGTTTGTGTTAAATTATAAAATTTTCATAATGCCAAAGTAAGCACTTGTCCACATGGCATTTTTATCCACAAAATCTATTTTAAAAAGTCAGCTAGGAAAACTACTCATATAGTTGCTTTTTAATGGGGAGTGGGTGGGGGTGGAAGCTCTAATTTCTTCATAAAAAATAAAAACAGCTAGCTGGTATAACAGGCAGATAAACCACACAAGTCTAATTCTTCTACACTAGGACACAAAAAATAAACATTCTTAGTTGTATTTTAACTTCCTCTTAAGAATATGTTTCTCAATAAAAAAATAAGTCATACCCTCAACATTCATAATAGAACTTTTTTAAACGTGTTAAAGGAAAGCATAATCACATTATCAATTTTCTTTCTTTCTTTTTTTTTTTTGAGACACAGTCTTACTGTGTCATCCAGGCTGGCTGGAGTGCAGTGGTGTGACTTCGGCTCACTGCAACCTCCACCTCCCAGCTTCAAGTGACTCTCCTGCCTCAGCCTCCCTAGTAGCTGGGATTACAGGCACCCGCCACTGCAGCCGGCTAAGTATTTTGTATTTTTAGTAGACACGGGGTTTCACCATGTTGGCCAGGCTGGTCTTTAACTCCTGACCTCAGGTGATCCACTCGCCTCGGCCTCCCAAAGTGCTGGGATTACAGGCTTGAGCCACCACACCTGGCCACATTATGAGTTTCCTATAATATAATGTGATTAATCCCAACTGCAAGACAGGCTTAAAAAAATTTTTTTTTAATTAAAAGAGTTAAGACTAAACTAAAAAATGATAATAAAATCACTGACAGTGATAAATCTACGAGGCCACTGAAGAAACTTAGAAATAAATGAGACAAATGCTTATGAGATGTATAGTAACCATGGCCAACTCATTCATAAAATGTCCTGTTTCTGATTGCCATCATCAAGGAAAACTAAACCAAAGAGAATACTGGTATTTCTAATACCAAAAATCATATTGAAATATCCATTGTATCCCAAGGCAATGGCAATTTTTCCCTGAATGTCTTAGTATAAACTTTAATTTTGCCATCTGTATGCAATGTGCTTAATTTTAAGATGCATACAACAAAGAAAATTCATTCACTTACTTGTGGTCTTTTTCACTAAAGTTGTTTTGAGGGGGTTAGGGGAGGTCAAATCATTTCTCACTTCAGACTTACATTTTTTCTTTGAGCAGTTATTGACAAATACTTTTTTCACTTACCTATCAGCTTCTTTATCTTCAGGCAGCATGGGAGGCAAAGGTAACGGTGGTAATGTAGAGGTCACTAAAGCTACATGTTGCTCCTTCTCCTTGGCTCCTATGCTTGGTGTAAGTGGTTTGGTTTTCTCTTTAAGAGATACTGGTTCCTCCTTTGTAGCAGCAGATTTACTCTCCTTTCCAACTATGACTGCTTTCTTGGCGGCTTTATCTACAATCAAATTATTTTCCACCTTCGTTACCTGAAGAGGTGGCTTTGTTTTTGCTTTGTCATTTTTTAAAGTTCCACCACTTGAGGGAGAAGGTGCATGTTCAATTTTAATTTTCTTCACATCCTTCACATGGTTTGTTTGTGATGCACTGGCACTAGTTTCTGTGTTCCCCTTGGTAGGTGTAGAAGTGTTTGAAGCTTTTGCAGCTTTGGCAGCAGCCTCAGCAGCCTTAGTTGCTTCTGCAGCTTTCGCTGCTTCTGCGGCTCTTGCTGCCTCTGCCGCTCGTGCTTTTTTATTCTTGTTCAATTCAGCTGCCAGGCTACTCTTCAGAGTTAGTGTGCTAGGAGAAATACTAGAATGACGACTTCTGGATCTAGACAATCTGTGCCTGCTACGAGATCTTGAATGCCTAGATGAATATGGGCTTCTGCTTCGGGATTTGCCAGACCGTCTGGTGAGAAATAATTAAGATTTAGTCAGTAATTCAGAAAGGTTCAGTTTGGAATTTACAAAGACAGTGCTGACTTGAGTTTATGAAATAAAATAGAAATTTACTTAATTTCAAAGTTACATTTTCGAAGGAGTTTTGAAAAATAAAAAGTTCTTTAAAGTAGAATATTATTTGGTGGTCATAGTTCTCTTCAAAATGGATTGCCCTGATCTTGCTTTGGTCTACAAATGTAAAAATGAGGAGGAAAAATGTGACAAGGCATCACTGCTGTCTCAGAAAAAAGAAGTAGGCAATAAGGCTACATCAACGGTAGTAGTAGCAGCAGGGTAAAATCTGACAAATCTTTTACCAGGAGACAGTTGCCACATCTCAAAAGTACCTTACTCAACCATAAGTTCAGAAATAAACAGTGCTCTGTCTATGGCAAGAGTGAAAAAGACAAGACTTACTACTGGGCAATAAATAGAGTCTCTTAGAGTTTGTTTCAGAAAGATAGTTTTAAGAAAATATACAGCCAGGCGTGATGGCTCACACCTGTAATCCCAGCACTTTGGGAGGCCAAGGTGGGCGGATCACGAGGTCAGGAGTTCGAGACAAGTCTGGCCAACATAGTGAATGAAACCCCGTCTCTACTAGTACTGCAAAAAGTAGGCCAGGCGCAGTGGCTCAAGCCTGTAATCCCAGCACTTTGGGAGGCCAAGATGGGTGGATCACGAGGTCAGGAGATCGAGACCATCCTGGCTAACATGGTGAAACCCCGTCTCTACTAAAAAATAGAAAAA